TTTTTTCCTAAACGAATTAGAAAATTTTTAATGAATTTTTTCCTGAGGTAGCATTCAAGTTTGCCAAAAATCCGTGAAAATCCACACTCCAGACACCACCACCAAAAATCTATTCCATATATCAAAAATTCAACTGACAAAGTTTTAGTATTACCTCTTCTCTTCATTCTGTGAAAATTTCAGGAAGATTGGATGAAAAATGGTGGAGTTATTTTAAAAAGTATAGAGAAAAGTCGCGTTTTGGGAAAACGGCTGATAAAAAAAAAATAATACTGACTTTATGAGGAAATGGAGGTTACAAACATGCCCGGTACAGGAAAAAATACGGTTTTGGGGGGTCCTTATGCGATGAAATAGTTGTAGGAGAGGCTGAGGAAGCTAAAAGTGCCTACAACTCAAATTCCATGATTTTGAGCTGAATTATGATTTTGGGGGTGTAGCCCCCCCCCCCCTTTAAACACTAACAAACTGACACCGTAACATACCCATATGCATAATGAGAAAGGCAGAGATGAGGATGTTTTACTTTGTTGATTGCCTTGTTCGTGCTTTCACTACGTTGCATTTGCTTCGTTATTAGTCAATGCGATTATTCCAAGTTTTCGAAATACTGATAATTAAGTAGTACATGTAATAGCAAAGATAGTACATAACAAGATGGTCCACTCAGTCAAAAAAGTGTCCGCCGGAAGTCCGCTCTTTGCTTCAGATGGCGCTGCAGTCTCTTTCGTTTTTCCAGAAGATGAATAGGAATAGCACCTCCTCGCGTGCGCAGATCGACTGTTGTTCATCAGCAGTTCGGGTTTTGAGGACACTTTTTAATTGGCTCAAAGAGAGGAGTGGCCCCTCTTGTTATGTAGACTCTTTGGTAATAGCAAATTTAGTGGGTCAAAATATGAAGTCAGTCTCTTATATTTGGCACAAAATACCAAAGAAAGGTAACCGATATGACCGAAAGTGCACCTTAACCATAAAACCATAATCTTAACTACTCTCTCTCTCTCTCTCTCTCTCTCTCTCTCTCTCT